CACTTCCAAGTAGTGCCAACGTTAAGAAAAGTTTATTCCCTCACGCCTTCATTGCGTGGTGCTTAATTAGGAACACAGATAGATTACAGCTGTCAATGAAGTAGACCTACATTTTCCGGAATATAACGAATAAAAAACATGACAACCACACGAAATTCCTTATGCAATCAGTTACTGCAATTTGTTCTATGGAATTCTGCAATGACGCGTTATAAATGCCTATTTTTATTGGTATACAAGATTAATATCTACAAGATCCCATATTGCGGAAAACTTAAATGCATAAGGACAAAGGCGCACGCGCTTAATAGTCGTTTCATTCAATTTTGGCACGCCATCTTTAAAATGTGCCCCTTCATGTGAGTCTAGTCTGGTTTCCCAGTTCCGTCTCCTGGACCGTATGACATGTGGTGGTCACTCATCCGTGACACTGTTCGACCTTGGGACTTCTGGTATTCCTCAGCAGACGAGACACGCAGCCGTGAGATTGACGCATTGCAACATGAAATATGCTGATTAAGCGTCATCTGTAAGGAAAGCTGCATGTATAAACATATCTGAAATATTTAAGAAACTTTTGAGGATCACAGTCAGTTTCAGTACTGGAATGGATCGTCATCATCTTCGCTTTAGAGCATAAGAAACCTTCCTGTTCCGGCTTCATCTTCCCCTCTCTGTCTTGGACGGCCATGTTCTTCTTCCACTCATGTAATAAAATAGACGGATTGTGAGTTTTGAGGTTCTCACGACAGTGACTGTGACGCCATTTAGTCTGGTATAAGTTTAGAGACGTTTTGGAGGAACCTGTTGCCTCCATCTTCGATGCATAAGAGAGAATTGAGAAAGCAGACAAGAAAGTAGCAGAAAGAGAGAACTTCAAGACTTGGGCGTTTGGAAAGGATGTGTCAATAAGAACGAGATTGCCTGGATATGTAGCGCAAATGAGAACGAGAAATGCATACAGGAATTTGGTTCAAAACCTAAAAAGAATAGACGACTTGTGAGACCTTAAAATACAGGGCGTTCAACCATCGAGGAAACCAGGGAATAGAGCACAGCGGACACAGCATTTCTCACAGATTGCTGCTGTAACTTCTGATAGCAGAATGAATAATAAGCGTTGATAAACGCACTCAGTCAGGTGGTCTGATCTTGTCACTGCAGTAAGTCTCATTGATAGCCAGTCTTTGTTAGAGGTGTCGATAGCCGGTCGATAATTACACTGAAATGAAGTTCACTACTGAACAACATGTGTTTATTGTCGAAAATTTGCAAGGAAAAACTTGCAGAAAATATAATATTTCGTCGTAAATAGCTTGACTCATCAGTTCCCACAAAGTCGTGTGTATCCAAGCTTCTGAAAAGTGGAATGTTATTTCATTCTGCATAGCTTCAGTGCTGCGAGGATTCTTGTAGACTTTTCCCTTCACGTTTCTCCAAAGATAAAAATCGCAAAAAGAAATTATATCTGAAGATCTGGGAGGCCACAGTCCCCTGCTGATTATTCTGTCTTCAAACACTTCTCGTATTGCTACCATGGTTGCATTAGCCGTATATGCTGTAGCGTTATCATGCTGAAAATACCCATATTGTCTTCAGCAGTCATCTGATTGAAGAATGGATTAAGTATATCATTAACGTAGTGGTCAGGGTTCACAGTTTCGTGGAAAAATAAGGGGCCAGTGATTCACCACGGACTTACAACACACCACACCCCCACCTTTTCACTATGTAATGGCACTTGCTGTATAGCGTGAGGATTTTCATCGCTCCATATTCTTACATTGTGTGCATAGACATGACCACTAACGTGAAACCACGAACAGAACAGAAGCTGTGGATCCACAATTTCATCGTGCACATTTTGCAGCAGCCAGTTGCAAAAACGAATTCTAGCTGCATAATCTGGTTGCTTCAGCTCATGCACAAATGTTATTTTATACGGGCGAAATTTGATTAATTTTGTGGCTGTGAAAGCAGACAGTAGCGAAACACCGGTTTCCTGTGCTAAGCGTCTTAACGATTTTCGAGGACTGATATGAAGTCGTGCCTCAATATCCCGATTGTCTGCACAATCCTCTTCGATTGCTTCTTTATGTTACAATTAACCTGAGGCCCCTCCACTTTTTCACAAACTTGGATAGACGACTTTGTGGGTACTGGCGAGTCAGGATATTTACAACGAAAATTACTGATACATTTCCTGTAAGCTTTTCCTTGCTAAAGTTTCGACAATTAACAAACATAGTTCAATAGTGAACTTCATTTCAGTATAAACATCGACAGCCTATCGACACCTCTAACAAAGACAGACTATTAATGCGACTCACTGCGATGACAAAAACAGACCACCTGACGGCACGCGTTTATCAGCGCCATTGACTCATTCTGCTATCGGCAGTTACAGGAGCATTCTGGGAAAAATGTTCTTTCCGCTGTGCGTTGATGCCGAGTTTCCTCGACCGTTGAACAAATTGTATGAGGTTGGGGCACGCGGTAGCATAGTTGGTTGAGGCACTATGCTACAAGCCGGAAGGTCGCGGGTTCGAGTCCCAGTGAGGTATATTTTTTAATTTACCTAATCCTTCCAGCCGCAATATGACCCTGGGTTCGACTCAGCCTTGAACAGAAATGATTACCAGAAATCTTCCTCAGGGATAAAGGGCGGCCGGCGCGTAAGGCTGACAACCTCACCGCCATCTGTGTGCCAATTGTCTAAAAAATATGGAACCTTGACATCTGACATCCCTATGGGTCTTCATGACCTGTTACAGGGATAGCTTTACCTTTATGAGGATAATATTAAAATTAGTGTTGAATATGTTGGTAAGGTTAGATTTTCACTAAACTGATTAAGAATTAGGTTAGATTCAGGACATTGATTGTGACGGTATTAAACTACAAGATTTAATAGTTTGAAATTTCTTGATTATTTGTAACTGATAATAAGCAATTGCTCAAAGAAGCCTGTGACCAATGGAGTCGATTCTTTCGGTTACTAACTGATGACCAATGTATTCAAGATTAATTCCCTGTGCTTTCAGGGAAACACTGAATTTCTTGATAAGTTTATAGAATAACATATCATACATTTCGGAATGTATCTGAATGCCGTCAGCTACAGACATAGAGAGAAACACGTTCTTTGCTCACGTGATTACACATTAGCCAGTAGCTTACCGAAACTTAACCGCACCCGTATTTTACTAGTCCACCGAGTGTATACACACGAGACAGCGTTCAGAGCTGTCCTTAGAAAGCGTTACATGACAAAAGACTCATTTCTGTTTCCTCTGGTTGAGTCAGTCGGATAGAACGAAGAGATTTAATGGGCAGGGTGAGGAGACGCAAGTCAAGTTAGTGGCCGACAACACAAGGCCAAGCAACGTTGCTCGTGGAGTGCCGTATAAACCCGAATATAAGGAGACCCATATTTTCCCGATAAAAAAATTGGATTTTTTTTTTCTCACAGAATTGTGTATGTCATTTGGTTCCGAGGGTTGGAGGCAAGAAGAAGTTGAAATTATTCTACGTATTAAGAACTAATAAATTCAAAATATAACACCTATTCTAAGAAACAGTATTTTAAAAAAGATAACATCACTTTGTGGTCCATCCGACTTTGTTAATTTACACCGCTATAAGAGTTATGGCCGTTCACAGTGGCCCCAGGGTCTAAGGCATGAACCGTCTTCGCTCGCTCGAACGATGGGATCGTGGGTTCGAATCCCAAACAAAGCATGGAAGTCTGTGTTGTGTACGTTTATTCTATGTGTAGGTAGCAGACTTGCGACTTGCTGATCCCCCATGCAAGGAGTCATACTGATTGTGTATATTATTAAGAAACTGAAAAAGCGGCCAATGTCCAACAAAGACGGTTGAGCAGCAGACAAATATATGGATGCATGGATGGATGGATGGATGGATGGACAAACAGATAGATAGATAGATAGATAGATAGATAGATAGATAGATATGCCATCATATAGCTTAAAATAAAAGAGATGCTCTATGATGACTCATGTTCTTGTGCTCGCAAGGGGGACATGAGAAATGCATACAACATTTCCGTGGGGAAATCTGAAGAGATGAAGTCACTTGAAAGACTAGAGATTAAATTAGATGATATTAAAATTGATCTTAAATAGCGGTTGGTAGTTGGCTTCCCCCCGCGGCGGCCCGGGTTCAATCCCGGGTCTGGTCAAGTGGGATTTGGGATTTGTGGTGGACAAATTGGCGCTGCGGCGGGTTTTCTCCGAGTACTTCGGTTTCCCCTGCCAATCTTCATTCCACAAAATTCTCCATCATCTTAGTCACCCGGGGCAGGCTACAATAGGCTACAGTGGCCGCCGTGCCGAGTGGACGCAGTTTGACTCCCCCCCCCCCGCACTAAGCTAATTTCAAAGAAAAGTACAGGCTTCTCAAGTAGAACTCTGCACCATGGAATTGTTCAGGTAGTTACTATATTACAAATGTCACTCACAGAATTGAGTGAACTCAGGAAATCGGAGTAAAACTTCTGAGAGAACGTAAGTCAGTAGTAGGCTCACTTGCTCGATAAATCTTCAGAGAATGGTGGATAGTAAAGCTTCCTCTTGTCACGTGTCCCGAACGGTGACATGTTGACTACGGTTTATGCTAACCGTGTTACAGTGTATACACTTTTTAAACTTATTCTTCACTTCCACACTACATGTTTCAGCACTAATGTGCCATCCTCAGTTGTCTTTATGCACGTTAAACTATTGTATTGCATGCCATGGCATGGCACATGAATCAGTGTAACAGGACGCTAAAATATAACATGTTGTCTACGGTAACTTGGATGAATAGGCACTGTTTTTGGCTTAGGTTCTGAATACAGGAACAGAATATTCGCATCCAAATACAAATACCATTTTCTTCTACAATAATATAGTTACTTGTGAGACAATGCTTTCTGAAGTCAGGCCAAATGTTACGATTACTTCAATCCCCAGATAATCTTTCTGTGTACTTGCCTGATTCTGCGCGTTTTGTTCCGCCATTGCCTTCTCCTTGGCCTGTCGTTTACATTTGTACCGGTGATTCTGGAACCAGATTTTCACCTGAAACACAAGAGGAGAGTAGTTTTGTAACGTCGCCTCACTAATACTCCCTTGAGGTATGTAAGAAGGGCTGATTCTTCCACTAGGCCCTGATTTCATCGAAAGATAACAAGTTTCATTGTACTGGTAGGTACAGCCTCTACTTATGTCTTTTTTTTTTCTTACTTTCCGTTCAAATAATCTTCGAGAAGATCTTCATTAAACCTTCCTTTCTTTCATATTTACGCAGTGCATACTTAATGCATAATACAAAATGCACATAGGTGTTATGAAAAAAAATGCAACCCTCTTTGAATTATTACCAACTGTAATTAATTTATTAAGTTCATGGAGGTAGGCCTAGGCCCATTGGGGCTGTAGTGCCAATGAAAAAATTTATTAATTTCTTCACAATATTTATATCTTGTGTATTTAATATTATCTTACTTGTTAGTAATTTATTAGTACATTTGCTGTCTACGATAACAGATGAATTTTAAGTGACGTTCATCCTGTAAATTTTGAAATTATGCAATCTAAAATACTGAAATATTTTATTTCAGCATCCTATTGCTATTATTCAATTATATGTACCCGTCAATAAAGCAACAATGATATTTAAAATAAATAAAATAAAAGACACATAATACATGTTCTTCACCAAAACTGCAGCTCCTATACTTTTAACGTTATCAAATATCAAATGTCACAAAGACACTACACGTATTGATATATTGGGTTTTTGGACTTTATCCATCGTCCTGGTTTTTAAGATAACTAATAAAAACACGACGTTTCGTAAACTGGATCTGTTTCCGTCCTCAGGTGAAGGAAAACACCTATTCTGTTGGGTCCGTTAGAAAGAGCTAGCCTCAATCACTAGCCAGTGATTCCGTCCTTCACCTGAGGACGGAAACAGATCCAGTTTACGAAACGTCGTGTTTTTATTAGTTATCTTAAAAACCAGGACTATGGATAAAGTCCAAAAACCCAATATATCAGTGTGTTATACACCATCGTCAGAATCCTATAGTAACTACTACACGTATTATTTACACAAAAAGTGACTATTATATGCTTTAGAATGTCTTTAATTTGTATCATTTGTTCTTTTAAATTGCAACATGTTTCGGCCGCACATGGCCCATCATCAGGCAAAATTTTAATTGATGAGAGGACTACTGTACTATCCGCTTGTCTTCCGTGCTCTTCGGCATGTTGTTTTTGTTGTGTCACATATCTACTCACAGAACTCCGTCATTATATATCTTTTTCGGCTATCACAGTTTTGTATATTGTTTTCTTCTGTATGTTCGTCTTTAGTGCAGTCTTCTCTTATCCTGACTCTAATGTAGCTGCTTGCGCTTAAATACCTTTGTACGTAACATATATACCGCTATCTATCAAATAAATATCTACGTACAAAGATATTTAAGCGTGAGCAACCACACTAGAGTTAGGATACTTCACTAAAGACAAACATACAATAGAAAACAACATACAAAACGTAAGTACACAGAATTGTAACATCTAATACACAAGACAACAAGATTGAAACCATACATTATAATACACATTTTTTTTCTAAATTCACATAGTGGGGCGTGGAGTCCAACTGGGTCCACTCGGCACGGCGGCCACTGATTGGCCTATTGTAGCCTGCCCCGGGTGAATATGATGATGGAGAATTTGGTGGAATGAAGATTGGCAAGGGAAACCGAAGTACTCTGAGAAAACCCGTCCTAGCGCCACTTTGTCCACCACAAATCCCACTTGTCCAGACAATCCTGGCCGCCGCGGTGGGAAGCCAGCGAATAACCGCTTGAGCTGGGGCGCAGCCCTTACAATACACATTATATATTGCAGTGTGATAGCCGCAAGAAGAACACAATGACGCAGTTCTAGATATGTGACACAACAATAAGAAACAACGACATACCCGAGAGCACGGAAGACAAGCGAACAGAACAGTAGTCTCCTCACCAATCCTGATGATAGCCCATGTGCGGCCGAAACATGTTGCAAATTAGAAGAACGTATGATATAAATTAAAGACACTCTAAAGTATTTAATAATCACTTTTAGTGTAAACAATAAGTTATAACATTGATAGCATTACAAAGTATAGGAACTGCACTTTTGGTGAAGAACATGTTTTAGGTGTCTCTTATTTTATTTATTTTAAATATCTTTGTTGCATTATTGGCAGTGTACATGTGACTGAATAAAACACTTAAAGTAATAATTGACTGATATTTTATACTGAGAATTAGGTGATTTAGTTAGGTCTAATATTGTTAACCAACTCCGTGGTTCAGAATCCTGCTTGATAATATGTTAATCAGTCAGCTGTTGAAGACGTCCCCCCCCCCTTTTATGAACATAAATATTAATTACAATGTCCACAATACCCCGCCACTAGACTCAATTCTGAGCCTGATGAATTCGGCCAATATTCTTACATCATATTTCCTGAAGTTCCACTTTAATATTATCAGCCTGTCTATAATATTTTGTTGTGTATCCCAAGTGACCTCATCTCTTGAGAGTCTTTGATTAACATTTTGTATGTCTCTCCCTCATGCGTGTTACCTGTCCTACACATCGCACCTTCCTTTTTTTGAGCACACTAACATGTCTTCTGACGGAAAGTAGACCCGTGTTATGACGTTCATGAAAAGAACGTGCAGATATGAGAAACGAAAGCGCAACAACGCAGAAGTAGTGCCAAAGTGACACTGCAATGAGCATCTTAACGTCTTTTGATGGCACTGCAAACAAAAGGAGAGGCGAAATGAGCAGCTGGACATGTAGAGCGTGTAGAAGATCATGGCGTGTTTTCATCAGCATGTCAGTGAATGTGTCATTCAATGGCAGAAACAAGAGACTGGAAGGAGCTTTTATACTGTGCAAGTCCACTTGTATGCATGTATCGCTGTGGCCTGGTTCGTTACGACACAAGTCTTGTTATGAGAGCCATCCAGAATGCCCCTTCGTATTCAGCGAACTTGTAAAAAGATAGTGTTTTGTATGAAGAAATATTAAAACACTCATTCATAGGTTTAATTACTTCTTTCTCTTTTGAATAAGATGTTAGTGTACGGATGTGTTAAAGAAATATATCCTCCTAGCCCTCTATAGTTTAGGATGACGCCAATAATTATTATTACTATATGGAGCTTTAATAATAATAATACAAGGTTGACTCTTGACAGAATATCTGCATTAAGGGAGAAATATATCTGGAACTTGTAAGCCCTTAATCACTTATATAAACTGTGTTAGGAGGCAATTACAGAACAATGAACGGGCGGTGTCATGCAAATGCAAACACAAATAAAACTGCTCCATGCACCTCCTACACAAGGAAATGGGTGCTTGGCTTCTGAGTGGTACTGGAGCCTGCCGACAGCACCAAGTGGCTCTCGCTTCTGTTTTCATATGTGACCGCGGACAAAGTCAGAAACTTCTATATTTCTTCTGGATGGAGACCTGAAAATATTTTTCCTCTTTCCTCTGTTTCCTCCTCTTATTCCAACCTTCCTTATTTCCTTTTACTTACCATTGTTTCTTGATTCTACACGTTTCCTGAAATTATTGACTATTTGGACATTATCCATCATTCTGTATTATTTAAAAATAACTTTTTGAAAACGGGACCCTTGTCTCAGTTCTCAGTTAAAAGCCTACTCAGTTAAACCAAATCGATAGAGCTAGTCCCTATCTCCGGAATATTAGCGGACATAGGGACTAGCCCTATAGATTGTACCCAAATGGATAGACTTTTACCTGAGGACGGAGACAAGGGTCCAGTCTCCGAAATGTTGTTTGAAACAAAAAAAGAATGACGAAGATTGTCCAACAAATAATTTATGTACAATCGTCACAAATTTTAGATCACATTCGTATCCTCCTCCTGTTTTTGTGCCCCACACGTTTGTTATAACACCCAAGACGATTATAACTGTGCTACACAAAATTCTCGGCAGGTTTCGTTACTGTTTAAGTTAGTATGTGGCCTTTGTATTAGCGGGATTTTTTCTTCCCCTTGGCACTACAGCCCCAGTGGTCCTAGGCCTACCTCCATGAACTTCTCCGTTCACTTCGGGTTTTCTAGATCTTACACATTCGGTAGGACTCCTTGGGCGGGTGATCAGCTCGTCGCAAGGCCTCTACCTGTACACAAACATAGAAAAACGCAGACATACAAACTAAACATCCATGCTCTGAGTGGGATTCGAACCCACGATCCCGGTTTCGAAGCGAGCGAAGACAGTAGCGGGGTTTTAGCAAAAGAAAATATTATAGATGAAACGACCAAATTCATTGACCTGTCGGAATATAATAATTATGTAAAATACTGAATTGTAACAAACTATGTGAAACGGATTTCGGTGTAACTTACGTGGAAAAGTCAGTTTGTAGTCTCATGCGTATCAGGTTTTGTAATCGAGCGATATTGTTAACATTGTCTAATTAACGTTATGTGAACACGTCTCCCATGGAATTTTACCGACACATGAATAACGGAGCAGAAAGCAAGAGACAGTTATCGGAAAATATTCCTTTGTAAAGAAGACAATCCAGCTCTGGAACCAACTGCCTGCAGATGCTTTAGGAACTCTCTCCTATAAATCAAGTAATTTTACGGAAAGGCCTAGAAAAGTGATGAATAAGGCGAAGTGCAGGTGTGGGGAAAATCGCTAAAAAATGCAGTGAAGTGGAGTTGAAGGGTACATAAAGTGTAATGAAGTGGGATAAAGAGAAGGCCATGGTGAAACGTGAGCGCTTCAGTTCACGACATCACGTATTTCAGTACTGTTGCTGTTTAGTGTATAGTATGCTTATTTCGTATTAATAATATTAATAACTGTAGTTGTAATTTTATTTGCATTGTAATCATTGTGTGTGGAATGCCATTTATTGTTTATGTAGTTTTATATGCTTTTTTAGCATGGTGTGTTTTTTGTGTGATGTGTCTTATTGCAGTACCACTGCTAATGGGTAAAACCCCATTTTCT